TAATACGAAGTGATGAGTTGGTTATTACTTCTATAGTTATTTGTTTATACTATGGGGCTGGTTTTTTATACTAACCCTCAAAAAACCAACGAGTCACACACTAAGCATAGCAATTTTATCAAAAGATTAATTGAATTTTTATTCAACCCTATAGAATTAAGAATTATAATTTTTCATTTTTTTTTTATTGAACAGAAAAGAAAAAGAAGAAACGAATTTATCATTTTTTGTTCCATCGCTGGATAGAATGGATTTAAAATGAGATGTTTATCTCGTATTTGATTATGTTTATCAGTTAGTTATACGAATTCAAAAGCTTTAAAAAGTTATGCTCAAATATCATTGTTTGTAATCTTGAATTTTAGATAACATGCATTATTAAATTTAATTTGATGCATTAAAAATGATTTTTTTAACGGTTTTATCCAAAAACTTTATAATATAATAGAAGAGTACATGCATAGTGTAGTGATTTACATCCGAATTCTAATGTTTTGTTTTGTTTTTTGTTTCTATCGATATAATATAATTTTATGTGTTTTTGAGAAAACAATAATGTTTTTATTTTTGAATAAAATATAAATTTGAAAAGTTATATTGATAAAATAATTTTTTATAAAAATAATATTTAAAATTCTATTAAAACTCAATAATTATCCTAATTATATTTTAGACTTTTAATAAAATAAAATGTTTATCATGTATTTGATTATGTTTATCTGCAGTTAGTTACACAAATTCAAATAAAGAACTTTAATAAGTTGTACTTACGTACAACTTATTTGTAATCTTGATTTTTAAGTAATATGCATCAATAAACAATATTTCATTCACAAAAAATGTTTTTTAAAAGTTTTTTATCAAATGTTTTGTAATATAATGTATATATATATATAGGGGTTTAATCATTAGAGAACTCATGAAACTATGATAACCTTGAGAACTCGTACGTCATATAATAATATTTAATGTATTGATTAATATATATAGTTTTTCACATTGTGTTTGTTTCATATATACTCGATTCATAATATGAAATTTTTGTATGTGTATTTTATATTTCACAAACGCTCAAACACGTTTTCACATTGTGAACCGAGTACATATGAAGCGATCACATTGTGAAACAAAAATATATTAATCAATATTCCAAATTCTAGTCTTAGATGAAAAAAAATCATATCAAATTTAAAAACATAATCAAACATCTTGATTGATCCAATGGTTGGATGAGCATCTCGTTCTTCAAGAAGTTGAATCAAAGGTTAGATCATGCAAACACTGTACATGTAAATTGATGTAGACTTAGACATGGAATTGTTCTTTAAACCTAAAGGGTTAGATATGTTGGTACCAATCAAGAGGTTGTTAATTTGGTGCATCGAAAATGGGTTATTCTCGTGACCGTCTTTTAACATGTTAAATGTGAGATTTTGAATAGGATCTTCGAAATTTTGGTGCTTAAGTTTACATGTGTTTAGGGTCTTTTTATCGACCTGTATAAAACTATAGTCGAAATTATTTAGGTTCAAACCATTACTTATTTGGTTTTGGTTCAAATCAGTAATGGTTTAGGTTTAGTTTCATATTGCTAATCGTTTTAGGTTGGTAAAAGTCCAAAAAAACTCAATGAACTTTAATGTTTAAAATGATTAAGTCCTTAAACAAATTTTTAGAACGAATAAGTCCTTAAACATTCTAAAACAGGTTAAATAAACACTTAGAGTTTTATAAATATGTTAGATACATCCTTATTGTAACCGGCAACCTCTTTGGCAGGTAAAATTACAAATTAGAAAAAAAAACCTAAAATATTGGCCCATGGCTCCTGTCTCCACCCGTCGCCCTACACCACCCGCCTCCATCCCGTCGCCCTGCACCACCGGCCGCCGCCACCTCCCTCGGCCCAACCCATCGTCGTCGCCCTGCACCACCGGCCGCCGCCGCGTCCCTCGGCCCAACCCATCGTCATCGCCACCTTCCTCCTAGGTTTACAGTTGACAGCAACCCGAAATCTTGATGCATCTGATCCCTTATTCATCGAGATTTCGAAAGCATTTATACAGCAACAAATCAAAGGTGTGCCTTTCAGTATCATCGTATTAAAGTAGTCATCTTTCTTGTTTTGGATCAATTACCACTGAAGAAAATTCCTAATGATTAACTTAAGGGAGGTCATGATTTGGGTATGTTGGACTAATCACAAATAAAGGTTATTGAATTTGCATTTAAATTGATGGGATCTTGTGTTGCTTCGCTAAAAGAATATATCTCAATGTGCTGAAGTTGGGAAACTTTATGTCCACCGTGTTCTTCTAAACTTGTGGATCATTACATTTTGCTCTCAAATTCGTCCATGAGGAAGTATTTGTTTCATAATAATTCATATCATGGAAGCATGTAGATATCTCAATTGTGTGTGGATATTCTGTTTTTGCTAGTATGCATTTGTGTTTTCTGATGTTAATGCCTTGCATTCTTCTTTTACATTCTGTTCCTATTGGGAAAATGATTGTCCTTGATCTTTTTGCTGAAGTCGATCTTATTTGGATACTTCAAATGTCTGCCATGTTGAAGAACTAGCCTTAAGGCCTTATCAGGAAAGAATTTCTCACATCTCAACTATCATCAGCTTCTATTTCTGTTATGCTTTTACACCACCACACCAGTAGCAGTCTCTCCAATCTTGGGCTTTCACTACATGTATTCTTCCATTCTTTTTGGCTATTCATGTTTCACCACTTTGGATTTTTGATTTCCCAACTCATTTGTTGTGTCGGTGTACGTCTTTTGAGAGAAATTTTGATGCAAGGATTTAAGTTCTTTGATGTGATTTATCATTTTGGTCTGAATTTTTCACAAGTAGATACAATATATTCTAATAATATATATAGTGTTGGTGTGTGCTCTATTTATTACCGAGAGAATTCAGATTATTTATGCTTTGGGTACAACTTTTGTATCTTTTGGGGAAGAGTAATGAAAAGGGTATATTTGTTTCATTTTATAAATGTAAATACTTTTTTGGTTCAAAAAATGTTTAGGGAGTTAATCGTTCAAAATATGAAAGTTCGTTGGCTTTTTTTCCAGACTTTTTTCATTATTTTGACACATTAACCAATTTTATAGGTCATAAGGATGCATCTAACAGGTTTTAGAAAGTCCAAGGAGTTATTTAACAAGTTTTGGAATGTCCAAGGACTTATTTGTTCCAAAAAATTGTCCAAGGACTTAATCATTCTAAACACTAAAGTCCATTGGGTTATTTTAAACTTTTCCTTTTTAGGTTTAACCCATTTTTATTCTTAACATATATCATTTGTCATCTCATTTATGCAATATAATCAAAAGTTTTGGATGTAGCAGAACCTCAAAAAAAGGTTGTAACGTTTCTTTGATGTTATTTTAGATTCATCATATAGGATTCAGAATTTACACCACGAACACCTGAATGTTTCCAAAGATCCTGGAATCTTGAAGATAAAGTTGCTCATCATCATTTACACCATGACCCTACATTTTAATCTCGCACCCATTCTCCAAAACTCTCTAATACATGACATGGGTTCGCTCGGTCAATGGTTTGATGTGCCTATGGCAGTATTCTCCTTAGTCTTATAAGGGTGTGTTTGGTACGTTGGACAGGGTGAGACAGTACAGGACATAACACAATTGTCCTATGTTTGGTGTGGTCTTATGTTGGACTCACTAGAACTAGCTAGAACATGGGTGGGACACGCCTGTCCACCCTTAACCCCCAGGAACTAAGTAGAACAAGAACTATTTTACCTATCTACCCTTTCAAAACCCTTCTTTGCTTCTACCGTATACTTCAATCGGCGGTATCGATTGCAAGCGTCACCCTTCTTCCCCTTCAATCGGCGGTATCGATTGCTGGACAGTAATCGACAGATTTCACGAATCGTTCTACCTGTTTCTATCGATTGCATTTTGTTTGCTTTTTTGTATCGATTTTGCCACTGATTTACAATCAGGACGCAATCACATCGGCAACTTCTGCTTAATCATTCCTTCACTTCTCTTCTCTGTGGCCAACGGAGACGACGGAAGCAACTGTGACGATTGCATTTACAAACCCAGACGACGAGCTCATTTTGGTAATCTGCAGCATTAGGAACTACTTTTGTAAGATTGTTCATCAGATCTCCTTCGATTTCAATATTTTTCTTGTATTTTCTCATCTCCAAATCTCTGATCTTGGAGTATAGGGAGCAAAATTCTGTAGCATAGTTTGAAATACTGCTAGGATTGATTGGAAAACAACTTTCATTTTAGGGTTTTAATCGAAATTGTCAGTGACTGTAAAATTGATTGAAGTTGAAGTTTTTAGGGTTTAGAATCCGATGTCATCTTCTCAAGTGGGTTTAGGAGTATGGTAGATTAATTTGATCATGGTGGTTAGAATTCTAGGATTGACTCACTGGGGGTAAATTGGTCATTTTAACCAGTTTTGTCCAGCCCTATCATCATGTCTACCAAACACTGAACAATTATCCTGTCCCGTCCTGTCTGCGTACTAAACGCACCCTAATTGATGACACTTCCATATGCAATCCAATCACTAGAGAATACACCATCCTCCCTAGTCAGCCATACTACAGCAAAGGTTTTGCAATTATCGTTTATGGCTATGGAGTGAGTTCACTATCTCGACGAAGTGGATTAGAAGCCGAGGTATACACCCTTGGCACAGGCCAATGGTGAAGGCTTGCCCATGTTCCTTATTGGCTTAATGGATTCTACGGACCATTTGTGAACAACCATTGTCATTGGATGGTATTGTTTATGATCAAGATGCCCCTGAAAAGCTTTGTACTTCTGATTTAGACAAGGAAACATTGCTATTGATTCAAGTGATTTTCTACAGGTTCAAGAAAAGTGATGTGTTTCATCTTCAAGTCTTTAACTCAACAGGAGTTGACAGATATTCATCAAACCAGTAACAGTTGTAGATATAAGCATTATCACTTGAATCTAAAGTTTATACAGTGATGGATGTATGTGAAACCTGTACAATACTACTTTAAGATGAAACTAGGAATTACTTGCATAGATTTGAATGGAATGGTAACATAAATTCGAAAGTGGGTGTTCATGGTGGAGTTTCTTCGACCTTTACAACACATGAACCCTCTCAGATTCAAAGTTCTCGAGTTTAAGAAAGCTAGGACGATAAGCCATTCCTGATAAGTAGCGGTCGAAAATTTCTGTGTTTTCGACTGTTTTGCTCTTAGGACAATATGACAACAGTTTGTCTTCACAATACATCATCAAAATCCTTCCATCTTTTAGACCCTCAATCAGATACATGGGTTCCCACATCAGCCAATCTAGATCAGGGCTGATAGCTTGCTTGATCACCACCTCTTTATGCCAAGATTTCTTGATCCCGTATTCCTTCATCACCCATATCGTGAATTCAGAATCGTAGGTATCAGATTGACACAAGCAACCCTTTAGGACCGCTAAACTTTGGAAATGGATTTGACTTTCTTCTATAGATTCAATAGGAGGAGAAGGAAACAATTGAAATGTCTCCTTGTCTAAATCAAAAGTACAAAGCTTTTCAGAGGCATCATCCTTCTCACAAACAATCCAATGAAAATGGCCGTTCAGAAATGGCCCATGGAACCCATTAAGCCAGTATGGGACATGACCAAGACTTCTCCATTGGTTTGTGCCAAGGGTGTAAACCTCGGCTTCTAACAGACTGGGTCGTGATGATACATAAGGGTCTGGCGGTATATCCCCTTGGAAAGTCCTTATTACTTTGTACTCCCCTGTCATTAAGCTGACTCCAAAACCATACACGATTATTGCATAACCTTCTCTATAGTATCGTTGTCTAGGGAGGATCATGTATTCTCTGGTGATTGGATTGCATATGTAAGTATTATCACCTTCAGGACCAAACTGCCATAAGCAGATCAGACCATTCACTGAGCCCACCGGGAGTATTTGAGTCTTCTGGAAACTGGGTGCAAGATTAAGATCAAGGCTCGTGACAGGGTCGTGATGCAGATGGTGGTGATCGAGTTCATCTTCTATTTCCACCCACTTCAAAATTCCCGGTTTGTAATAACCTATAAGATCTTTTTCAGAGTTATGATGAATGACGAGGCTTGGAGGTGATTTGGAGAGGTGAAGATTAACAAAGTAAGAGTCCAAAACCAGATTCTGCCACTTCTTGCAAACAAGCTTGCAGTGGATGATGGTCTTGACCGGAAGCCTTGAGAGAACATCGGCCATGACATCTGGTGGCAACTCCTCCATCGATGGATTGATTAAAGACTAGATTTTGCTGGTAGCAAACCAAGAGATTTGTTTTTGGGTTTGGTGGCGGTGATTGTATATGTGTGTGTATATATATAATATACATATATTTTGTGGTGTATCGTAGAGAAGAAGAGTTGGTGTTTGGTCAAATAAGGGGTCACCTTTGACCGAGTGGCAGTCAAAGGGCAGGGTGGTAATATGAACCTGCAAATTCTTAGGCCCAATAAGATATGTTGGAATATAAAGTGATACGGACTTTCCATACCACCAAATCCTTATGTATCATCACGATCGAGTCTATTAGAAGCTGAGCTTTACACCCTTGGCACAGACCAATGGCTTAATGGATTCTACGGGCCATTTCTGAATGGCCATTTTCATTGGATTGTTTGTACTTTTGATATGAACAATCTGATACCCACGACTCTGAATTCACGATATGGGCGATGATCTGGAAATCTTGGCAAAAAGAGGTGGTGATCAAGTAAGCTATCAGCCCTGATGACCTGATCTAGATTGGCTGATCTAAAAGATGGAAGTATTTTGATGGTCTGAAGACAAACTGTTGGCATATTGTCCTAAGAGTAAAACAGTCGAAAATGTTGAGATTTATCAAACCCAAACAGGGATCCACTAAGGATATAAAACAGAGAGAATTGAATTCACTAAGAAACTTCAATTCACAATATTAACCACACTCTGTTTTTCATTACACGTTTACTTACTTATATATATATATATATATATATATATATATAGACTTGGGATCATGTGAGACCAATGGTTTTTCGTGAGACCCGTAAGACCAATTCTCAACCCTTGGATTAAATTTACAATCGTCAGATCTGAACATTTATAAACGCCACGAGACTTTTCACTAATTACGAAATTGCCACCTTGCAACTTTGCAACCATTAGATCATTAATTCATAAATTTGATCAATGAACATAAATTGGTCTTACGGGTCTCACGAAAAACCCTTGGTCTCACGTGAACCCAACCCTATATA